GAAATGTACACTTTAAATAAGTGAATTGGGGGCTGGAGAAATGGCTTAATGGTTAAGAGCACTGGCTGCTCTTACAGAGGACCAGATTGGATTCCTAGCACCCACATGGTGGCTAACAAACATCTGAAACTCCAGTTCCAGGAAATCCATTGCCCTCTTCCTACCTCCAGCACCCATACAAAAAACCAGGCATGGTAGTCTACACTTGTAATCCCAGTGCTGGGGAGGCAGAGACAGATGTCTGTGGTTCCCTGGCCAACCAGTCTAGCATAATTGGTGAGTCCTGGGTCCCAATGAGAGACCTTCTGAAAAACAACTGGCTCCTGGGGAAGGACACCCAAGGTTGACCTCTGGCCTCCAAATGCACTTGTAAACACACACACACACACACAAACAAAGACGAAGGAAAAAAAAAGGAGAGAGAGAGAGAGTGAGAGAGAGAGAGAGAGAGAGAGAGAGAGAGAGAGAGAGAGAGAGAGAGAGAGAGAGAGAGATCTTGTTGTGCTTGGGAGGCTGAGGTATTTGAGGCCAGCCTGAGCTACATAGTAAATTCTAGGACAGCTTCTACTACATTGCAAGACTCTGTCTTAAGGAAAACAAAAACAGAAAACAGTGACTTTTTAGATGAGATCCTAGTCATTGATTACTCTCAGCCTCCTTCCCTCTTAGATCCTCATCCTTCCTCATCTATTTCCATAGGCTCCTAACTTATCTCCCTGCCTCTGTCTCTTCTTACCTAATCCAGCTTCTGGAGTCCCTAAATTATTTTTTAAACAAGAGAGTAATTATTTTTCTCATCAACTTGAGAATCTCAGCAGCCTCTGTACCACATAGAGACCTAACTATAAAACAGGTCTGGTCCTGGTGCACTTTGTCCCTTCTTGTACCATCTCTCTGGAGCTGTGCTCTAGCTCTGCAGGGTGCAAGCTTTCCACAAACATGTAAAGCTCCCCAATTTTCAAGGCTCTGCACATGCAGGTCCTCTGCCTTTCTTTCTGAGCCTGCAGCACACAGCCACCTGGAGTCTAGCACACAGCACTAAACAGCTGGCTGCAGCTGTCTTTCCTGCAAGACTGCAGGCTAAGGGCCTTGGACTTATCCATGCATTCCGCATCACCAAAAATTACCAGGAAATGTACATGTTCAATAATCTGCTTTCCTCCCTACCCCAGGATGTAGAATTTCTTTTTCTGCCAAAACAAATGTTTTCATGGAATTTTGAAAGTGCTAGACTATAGAAATTCCAGAGGCTTATTTTGTGATTAAGAAAAACACCAGAAGTGAAATTATACACAGCTACACATGATTTGCCCCTCATTGCTATTTTTAAAAGCATGATTTGAAATTCACTAATATGAAATCAAGACTTTGATTTTAAAGTTTGACTCAAGATTCAAAACCCAGTTCTCTTTGGTTTTCTAATTATGTATATCAAGGTGCTTCTGAGTTGGAGGTGCCCCTGTGAGAACCCACTCAGTTTTGCCCAGATGGCAGAATGCAATGCTTGTTATTGTTGGAGGGCGCCTGGGGATGAGAGCAGCTAAGGCTACATTTGGGATTCATCAAGCAACACCCTAGAAACCAGAAAGCCCCACAACTGGGACAAAAATATGCCACCGAGCAGGGGAGAGAGTTGAGTGACATTCTAGGCTAGTCAGTCCCTAAGCAGGAAAAAGAAAGCCAGTTATGAAGCAGCCTGGGCTAACCCTCCCCACACCTTTCACTTTTCTCCCAGGTATAAATGGATCAGGAGTGAATGAACTGAAAATTGTCCATTGTCAGGACAAAACTCTAAAGGTTGTTTCCTAATGTGGTGGTAAAATACCTGGGCCTTTCTTATCTGCTGGAGTCTTTGAGGGGGTCCTAATTTTAGAGGTATGAAGGGGGTGGTCAGGAAATGGAAAACCCACAAGCTCTACTAAGCTGGATGGAAAAGGGGTTTGCAGAATTTCGCTCTAGCATATTGCTTATTCATTCCTCAGTGCTTGTTGCCTAGGAAGTGCCAGTTTCTGTTCTGGGCACTAGGATAAGCTACTGAATGAAAACAAAGTCCAGCAGGGGAGCCAGACAACAGATACACCAGCTGGTGATGAGTGTATGGAGAAAACTGAGGGCACCGGGCAAAGAGAATGGACAGGAGAGTGTTCTTTTGTAGGAGCCAAATGAGGAGACATTCAGTCAGGCTAGAGATGGGTGAGGAGGTGACACAGATACCCAGGGGAAGGGCACTCTCAAGGCAGAGGGACTGGTGGGTACATGAACCACACAACAAGGGTCTCATAGCTTCAAGGACTGCCAGGAGACTCATTTGATGAATGCAGCAAGGGGAGCACAAGGCGGAAAAGGCAGCGGTGGGGCCAGAATATAGGATGCCTCATAGGCCAGAATAAAGAATTCGATTTTCACAGAGCAAGATGGGAAGCCACTGGAGAGTTTAAACAGTTGTATTGACTGTGGGGAAGAAAGTGGAAAGAACACAAATTTGAGGAGCTGGACAGATGTCTCAGTGGTTAAGAGCATTGGCTGCTCTTGCAGAGGACCCAGGTTCAATTCTCAGCACCCACATGGTGGCTAACAACTGTCCATAACAAGTTTCAGGGGATCTGACACCCTCTTCTGACTTCTGCTGGTACTGCATGACATGGGTACACCTACCTACATGCACACAATATACTTGTATACATAAAATAAAAAATAATAAACATTAATAAACAAATAAACCAGTTTGAGGCTACTGGTCTTAAGAGAGCGATCATGGTCTTAGACCAAACTATTCTGATCTTCATGGTGGTAGATGGTTGGACTCTGAGTAATATGCTGGAGATAAGGCCAAGATAACTTACTGGTTCACTTCTCCACCTACTTTACCTTCAGTGTAACAAGACGGAAAGGAGATCATTTAAAGATACCCATCCTGATTAGGATGCCTGCCTACTTCACAAAAATGTACTTGTAGCCCCAATACTGGTGCTCAGTGCTTTCACAGCTCTGTGTAACCTGAACTTTTGTTTTTGGTCTTATTTTGAAACAGGGTCTTCCTGTAGCACCAGGTGGCCTGGAACTCACTATGTAGACCAGGCTGGCCTTGAACTCACAGAGAACCGCCTGCTTCTGCCTCCCAAATCCTGGGACTAAAGGCGTGTGCCACCACGCCCGGCTGCCTGAAAACTTTTTGAGTAGTCTGAGGCATGTTTCTACCAGAGGTCTAACAAGGTGACACTTTACCTGAGTTCAGCTCTCACACTGAGCTCTTACTATTTACCTTGTGCCATGTTCTTCCCTACAGCACATGTTCTTGATTTGGGTTGAAAATGGTCCTGAAGCATAGTGCTTGATCATCACCATTCCTAGGCAGAGGAAGGTTATGATCATGATGTGCCTTCAGAGAAGATACAATTACCCATAATGCCATTGGTTGGGGCTGTTGATCAAAGTATATATTAAATAAAGTGTCTTAGAGCTACATGTGGTGGCACACACCTGTAATCTCACCACTGAGATTATCTGGCTGATACCAGAGGATGACTGTGAGTCCCAGGCCAGCCTAGGCTACATAGAGAAACACTATTTCAAAACAAAACAAAGAAATAAAAAATAAGGGCTCTTATAAGTATAGACACATATAAAGTAGATATGAACTGATTAACAGATCATCAGCTATGTACATTTCATTTTAGCTAAAAGGCCAAAGTGATAGAATTAACGGCATTATGACACAACAAATACTTCAGAAGTTTCAAAAGAGCCATTTGAGGGCTTAGAAATACCTTAGCCTGCACACACATGCATGCACAAACAGCACACACATACTCACACAGAACCTGCAAGAAACTGCTATTCCTTCAGTGCATTTTGGAGGTATGAGACTGAAATCTTAATCTGAGACTGAAGAGGAAGTTAAAGCTCAACCACCGGTTCTCTCAGCTACCAAAGGGATCAGCCAAGGACTCTTAAAAGTCACACCTAGGCCTGGGTCCCCCTCCAAGTGGTGATCTAACAGATGTAGAGCTCAGCTTGTGTCCAAGTTTTCAAAGTTTTCCAGGTGATTCTAATGTATAAAACTTACTTCTCAAACTTTAATAAGCATAGGAATCCCAATCTAGGGCTCGTTAAAACAGGCCAGGGAATGCAGCTCTGTTATAGAGTGCTAGCCTACCATGCCCAAGATTCTAGGTCCAATCCCTGGGTGGTAGGGAAGGATAGATATCAGGATGATGGCAATGACAGGTAGGACTTGGGTTTCTAAGGTTTAATTTAGTAGGTCTGGGTGTGATGCCACACTTTTTTTTTTTTGGTCTTTTTTTGAGACAGGGTCTCTCTGTAGCCCCAGCTGGCCTAGAACTCACTATGTAGATCAGGCTGGCTTTGAACTCAGAGATCTGCCTGCCTCTGCCTCCCGAGTGCTGGGATTAAAGGCGTGCACCACACTTTTAATAGCACTGCATTCCATGACTTCTGTCACACCAAAGAAACCTTAGTAATGGAAGTCCTTTCAGTCACACTGGAATTGTTCGTCCCACTTTCCCTCAGGCTGTAATCCTCCTTCACCATCTTCTATGCAGCTTGGGACGGCAGCCTCAGCCCCAGCCCCAGCCTCCTCAGAATCCTTTTCCTCACACACATACCCATTCTGGCCTTGCTCAGTCTACTTGCTCAGTCTTAAACCAATCGCTGAAGACAGCAGGCAATCTGCCCACTTTGGTGAAAGAGTAAACCATGGCACACATAAGCCATGAAAAGAAGACAAGAGCACTAGAGACCCTAGTATCTTTTTTAAAAAAAGATTATTTTAAATTATGTGTATGGAAGTAGGTATGTGCAATTAAGTGCAGGTGCCATTGCCCAGAGCTGGAGGTAGGTAGTTATGAGATGCCAGATGTGGATGCCTAGTAACAAATTCTGGTACTCTTTAAGAGCAGTGCCTGATCTTAACCACTAAGCAATCTTTCCAGCCCCAATCCTGATATCTTTTCTGCTACAGAGAAATTTTTCCTTCACCATAACCATTCTTTCCAAATTTTATTCCAAAAAACTCAAAAAAGTATGTTGAGATTAAGATGTCCATAAAGAGTAATCATCATCATTATAATGAAGTATCCAACTGGACAGATATGACAAGGGCCCAATTCAGTACTCGATGTCCTATTTCCCCAATGCCCAAGTTAAAGAACCAAATAAACAACACAAACTTTCCAGGGTGGAAGGTCAGGACAGCCCCTACAATGAAAAGGTAAACATGGGCTACTGAGTGCGTGACTGTCTTCTATTTGTCCTTTTCTTTCTGTTCTTTTTCTTTCTTCTCACGCTCAGCTTTAGCTTCTTCTTCCTCGTGTTTTTTGATCAACTGCTCCACTTCCTTTTGTTTGAGAACTCTGATAACCGTCTTTCCACTCTCTCTTGTCAGTGTGGCAATTTCCACTAAAAAACAAACCCATACATTTGTATCAAGGCAGTACTTGGAATGATGCACACTCATGGCTTATCTGCTCAGTTATCTGAGCCTAAGTTCCCTCTCCAAGTTTTCACATTTACTGTTAATGACTCACTGATTATCTTTTTTTTTTGGTTTGTTTGTTTTTGAGATAGGGTCTCACTATCTATGTCCTGGCTGGCCTCAAACTCATATTCTCCTGCCTCTCCCTCTGGAGTGCTAGGTGCTAGGATTAAAGGTGTGTACTATCAGGCTAGATAGATACTGTTATAGAAACAAAATAACTTTATCTTGTCATGTCTTGATTATCACTTTTACTCAAAGATCTTTTCCGCACACAGTCCAATTTTCTTGGGAATATTTTTTATTCCAGCACTCGGGAGGCAGAGGCAGGCGGATCTCTGTGAGTTCAAGGCCAGCCTGGTCTACATAGTGAGTTCCAGGACACCTGGGGCTACAGGGAGACCCTGTCTCAAAAAAACAAACAAACAAAAAAAAGTGGTTTTTGTGTGTGTGTGTATGACTATCTTGCCTGCACATATACAGGTGGACTAAATGGTGTGTGCAATGCCTACAGAGGCAAAAAGATGTCAAAGCTCTTGGAACTGAAGTTACAGATGGTTATTGGTCACCAAATGGGTGCTAGGAACTAAATCTGGGTCCTCTCTAAGAGCACCCAGTGCTCAACCACTGAGCCACTCAGTTCTCTCTTGGAACAATGTCTGTCACTGAAGTACAATAGCAGCTGTTCTAACTCAGCTGTGTTGACCAGAGGGAACCACAGCCAGAACCTTCAACCAGTAACAACACTTCTTTTAGGGACTTTTCTAATTTCTTTTCAAAATAATGACATAAAAAAGCAGCTCTCAGTCAGCACAGTTGTCCACAGTGGTAAGCCCAGCACTCAGGAGGCAGAGGCAGGGGATCAACACAAGTTTGAAGCCAGCCTGATCTACAGTGAGTTCCAGGCTAGCTGAGGCTAAAAAAAAAAAAAGTAAAACAAACAAACAAAACCAAAAAAGCAGCTTAAGTACCTATGTGTAAGAAAAACTGACATCAGAGGGAAAGAAATTTTTCATGGAGGGGAAATTGAGTGGGTCCTTTCTGCAACTAAGCAGATGACAACCAAAGGAATTTGGAAGCAAATTCTATTTCCTAAGGAACACTAGGAACACAAGTTATCCCATACTAAACCAGTTTGTTAATTAATCACAATTAAAACAGTATTATTTAGGGGCTGGAGAGATGGCTCAGTTGTTAAGAGTACTGGCTATTCTTGCAGAAAACCCAGGTTAAAAATTCCAGCACCTACATGGTGGCTAACAACCGTCTGTGGTTCTAGTTCTAGGAGTCCAACATGTTCTTCTGACCTCCAAGGGACTTGTACAACACAGGTGTACCTACCTGCATTTAGGCATTACACTCATATACATAAACCAGTATTATTTAGAATATACATATATATGTTTTATTTTATGAGACACTGTAGCACAGGCTGGCAATTCTCCTGCATCACCCTTCTGAGTGCTGGGATTACAGGTGTGCACTACTGTGCCTAGTCAGAAACATTATTTTATATAGTCATACAACTTAAGTTGGATAGTGTTTGGATTTGAATGTTATTATAAATACAAAATCACATACATTTACCTAATCACACATGCACAGAAGCACCGAGAATCATTAAGAAGCCCTGATAAGTAATTGCTACTAGAGCAGCTTGGTGCAGATCTCTGAACCAGGAGTTATATTCAGGCTCAGGTCCCTAAGCCTGGCCTGCAGTATGAGTACGGCTTCACAACTCATCAAGGCACTTTACTTCATGGAGCCCCAGTGTCTTCATTCAGGAAACAGGTATGATGCACCTAAGGTTGCTGCTTCGATGAGCTAAAACATGTTCATCTAACGCTAACAGACCTAAATCTGTAGCTACTCAACCAATTCCCCTCACTCAATCAGACAAATAGAGGACTCGTGTTACCTTTTTCAGCAGACAGTTTACTAACATCCATTGTCTTATTTAGCACTTTAATTGCTAGAGCAAGTGCTGACTTCAGAGTCATTTCTCCTTCTTTATAGTCTTGTTTCAACATTGACACAGCTGCCTAGAAAACAAAGAATCAACATAGAGAATTTCCTTTAAGTTTGTCCATTTTTTAAGAATACGGATTGGTCTAGAAGAATTAATGCTAGAATTTGTATTGACAACTACAACTAGTATAAACAACTGATGGCAGGAAAGGTAGCAAGAGATGGGGAGAGAAGAGGGAGATAAATGTTCTGGAATCCTTAATGTGGGTATTTTCCTATTTTTACATCATATTAAAGCTATGCTAACAAACAGCTTATATTCGCCACTACTTCAACATTACAGTTCTTCTTAGATCTTTCACTAGATTTTACAGTGTCACAAAAATACTCACAGCACTATTGTTTCCAATGCATGTGGCTTTCCATCCCCCATAATTTCCGCTAGGGTCACTCTGATAGAGCTGAAAGCCATAGTGCTTATCCCAGCCGATGTACAGCAACGAAACACCAAAGGGGCGCTTTCCTTTCATAAAGAAAAAGCATCATCAATCTAAATTTTAAAAGTCAACAATCTAAATTTAGTGCCACCAGTCACAAGCTTAGTGGCTGAAGCTTTTCCCGTGAAGCATACATAAACTGCTTTGTGTTCTGGCCACCACAGATAAGCTCAGTCACACATTCCACCTAGTTTCTAGGATCTGGACACAATTTGGGGAGGAAATAAGAACACAGAGGGCTAATGTTGAATTTCATTATTATATAAAAGAATTTATTTCCAGATCTGAAAATGTCACTTTGGCTTTTCAGTATCCTGTCAATAAAGCCTGTCAATCAACATAAAAAAGATTTGTTCATGAGGGCTGGAAAGATGACTCAGTGGTTAAGAACACTGACTGCTCTTGAAGAGGACCCTAGTTCGATTCCAGCACCCATACAGCAAAAACATTTTTCTTGTGACTCCAGTTCCAGGGGATTCAGTGCCCTCTTCTGACCTCCAAGGGCATTGTACAACATGGGTGCACGTACATGGATTCAAGCAATACACTCATACACGTGGATCTTTGTGAGATCAGGAGCTTGGTCTCCATAGCAAATTCCAGGCCGGTTGGGGCTGCAGGTGAATCCTGCATAAAATAAAATAAAATAAAATAAAATAAAATAAAATAAAATAATTTGAAGCCGGGCGTGGTGGCGCATGGGGTGACCCTGTCTCAAAAAAGACCAAAATAAATAAATAAATAAATAAATAAATAAATAAATAAAAATTTGAAAACAAAAAGCTGAATACTTAAAAGATTTGTTCACAAAACAAGAATGTCTTTAAAAGCTGGCCATGGAGGTATAGGTATATATCTGTAATTCAGCACTTGGGAAGCTGAGGCAGGAGGATTGCCATGAGTTCCAGGACAGCCTAAGCTATAGTATAAGACTGTCATTTTGCCAAAGCAAAATGAAAAAAAGTTTATTATTTTTTAAATGTTTTAAGTTTTGGGTGTTGGAGAGATGGCTCTATGGTTAAGAGCACTGGCTGCTCTTGCAGAGACCCAGATTCAGTTCCTAGCACCCACATGGCAGTCAACAACCATCTGTAACTCTAGTTCCAAGAAATCTGATGTCCTCTTCTGACCTCTGTGGGCACTGTACAACACATGGGTACACTTACATACATGCAGGCCATATATTCACACATACAAAATAAGTTTTTAAAACATTTAAAAAAAAAAAAATCAGTACCTCCAAATTGTGTATAAGCCTGTTTGATATCACACAGTGCTGTAACCAACTGTTCACAAGGAATTGGCTCCTGATACTGTAATAAATACCTAAGGTAAAGAAAGAGATTGACATATTACTAGTTTTCTCTCAAACGCATACACTGCAAGGAAAACACTCTGAAAAGAAATTTATGTCATGGGGGGAAACAGAGTAGTCACTTATAATTTGAAGAGGAAAGAGAGGAAGAAACATTTCAATATCTTAGTATCATTGTGGGCATGTAGCATTTTCTAAGTTTGATGAAAAAAAAATGTAATTTTCAATTAATGGATTTTTAATGACTTTAAACTTGGTCAAAGTAAGCTCATAGGCCAGGCATGGTGGCACAAGCCTTCAATCCCAGTACTCCAGAGGCAGAGGCAGAGGAAGGTGGATCTCTATAAGTTCAGGGCCAGCTTGGTTCTACATAGTCAGTTCTAGGCCAGCCAGTGCTACATAGTGAGACCCCGTCTCAAAACAGACAAACAAAAGTTCCCCTTGGAAACATTTAATTTACACATCAGTTATGCCACTTATGTCCATACCTTTGCGCAATTAGCCTCAGTTCATTAGTCAGAACATTAGCATCAGAAGTTATGCCAGCCACACTGCAAGCCATGTCCCTTGAGGGGGGAGAAAAAAAAGACATTGACTATAAGCAGGAAAGATGCTAGCTACGGCACTTGTAAGAACTATCAGGGATTCTCCAGATTTTCTTCTCAGAAACTACCCTCTTGGGAAAAAAGCTACAGAAGTATTATCTTTGTAGGAGATGTTTACATGACACCATTCAACATGAATGATAAACAAATGCAGCCTCTGGGAATAGGGCTAAAGAAGGAACACCAAGTAGGTAAAGCAAATCCTAAGAAACAGAAGACCACCCCACACTTCTGAGTATAACTCTCACCTCCTAAGATCTGGTGTGATGGGTGTGAGGGTGATGGGGCACGAGGCTGAGGGAGTACTCAAGTTGCCTAGACACGCACTTCCTCATCTGCCTGTTCCCCAAAGCTTGCCCTGGCTCTATACAGTCTGGATACCCACTATGCCTGTACGTAGGCAAGCCTACAAGCTGCTGAATAGGCCCAAAAGAGGTTCTGTGGAGGAAAGATACTATGTTAGGTAAGTGCATCAAAAGGCCCCAATGAAAGGTAGTAGGCTCATGCTGGGAGTGTATTTCTAATGGTTAACTAAACTGATATAGAACCAAACTGTTTTCTAAATATCTATGCTCATACCCATTGAAAGAAGTGGCTCCCAGCCTTAATGAGAGTAGCCTCACCTTACAATGAATGTGGCAAATGCAGAGACCCATGGCTACCCAAGATGCAGAGAATAAGCAACAGGTATGAGCCCAGACCTAAAGAAGTCACTTATACCACTCCTTCTAAGGCTCAGGAACACTGTGGAACAGGGACGGAAGTGTGGAAAAGCCAGAAGACAGGGCGAAGGGCTGTGAAAAGCCACTCTCTAAACTCATATAACCATTGTGACCATTAACACAACTGAAGCTACCTGTACTGGGCCCACACAAGATCATTCCTGTCAGCAGTCAAGGAAGGGAAGGGGTATATGGGACCCTACACTTTCCCTCTGAACTATTAGCTATTGATAGATTCTGGGAGAGAGATGGGGAATCATTACCTTTAGTTATGTACCTACTAGTGAGTCCCCTGGGCTCCAACAGATAGCTCCAAACAACAGTCAACACAGATGGCCCTGGCTAATCTCAGTGGGTCACACACAATGAATACATATGAGTGAGGGAGAGATTTGTGGGAAGTAGGGAAAGTGGAAAGGGGCCATAGAGAGTAAAGGGATTAGTATGCATGGTGTACATGGATAACATTGTAAATAAATGTTATTTTATTTACAGTCCCAATGACCAGACCTATCACTGAAGGCCAAGCCTCTAAGGAGCAGGTCAGTTCTCCACTAAGTACAAAGTTCTACATACCCTAATGAAACAGAAAACAGAGTGTACAGAGTGTGGTGAAACTGTGCCTGGACCTCCAGGAGCCTTGTTCTTTGGTAAGGAGTCAGTATAATTTTATAAAATTCCTGAATAGTTATTTAAAACAATACTGTGAGGGCCTGCTATATGCCAGACACTGTGTTAGTTTATTTCATTCACTTATTTTCTTTCATTAGATTTCCACAATCACCCTGAGAAGTGAAGTCTAAGAAGTTAAATAAGGAAAGTAGAACACTTAAGTGGTTAAGAGCACTGGCTGCTCTTCCAGAGGACCCAGGATTGGGTCCCATCCACATGGTGGCTAACAACCACCTGTAACTCCAGTTCCAAGTGATCCAACACTCTCTTCTGACTCCTGTGGGTTTGCATGCATGTAGTGTAACCTTTATATACATGCAGGCAAAACAATTTTACACATAATATAAAAACAAATAAATCAAAAAAATTTAAAAAGAAGTTAAATAATGGGTACAACATTACACCTTGTATTTGTATGGGTAGATCCTGGACTTGAACCCAAACTTATGTGACTACTAAGTCTATACTTTCATCACTATGCTATTTATACACAATGCTATTTCTGCAGTGTTTAGCCCTATACATAAAATTAATTGCATACACACATACAGAGAGTACATAGACACAATACATAAATGTGCTTCAAGGAGGTTCCAGGCAACATAAAACAAAGCACAAATTTTCACAAGAAAAAATAAAACTGCTCACTTCAATTCTACCATGTCACAAAGATGAACCGTCTCTACATACACACACCCTACCTATGTGAGGAAGTAAAACAGTTCAAACTCTTTCCCAAGACCTCACTTACTCATTAAGTTTATAGATTTTTTCAGAAAAAAAGACTTCATCTAGAAGTTTGTGGATGTTGCGCCTCTCTGCTGCAAGCAAAACACCATCATTGGCTAAAATGCCCAGACAGGTGCCTGCATGTCCAATGGCTTCCATAGCATATTCAACTTGGTATAAGCGACCTACAAAACACAAGCAGTGAGATGCTAGGCTCCTCTGTGCTCTTGAACCATGGTTCCAAGAGAAATCAACAATGACACTAGCAGTTTACAAACAGTCCCACTTTTACTCTTCAATGACATAATCAGCCTAGGGACAACATTTATTTCAAAGTACAAAAAAGAATGAACTTATTAATAACTTCAAAAGGTCTATAACTTTTTTTCACTAAAAGTCTTAAAACTAAAACAAAACAAACAAACAGCAAGAACAAAATTTTCTTTGGGGCATGTTAAAATTTCTAGCTTAGGGCTAGATAGCTCAGCAGTTAAGAGCACTGAATGCTCTTGTAGAGCACCTGGGTTCAGTTCCTATCACCCATATAATGGCTAACAACCACCTGTAACTCCAATTCCAGGGGATCTTATGCCCTCTTCTAACCTCTATGGACAATGCATGACACAGGTGCACTTACATACTTGCAGGCAATACACTCATACACATAAAATAAAAATAATAAAATGTTAAAAAAAAAATTCTAACCAGCCGGGTGTGGTGGTGCACACCTTTAATCCCAGTACTTGAGAGGCAGAGGCAGGCGGATCTTTGTGAGTTCAAGGTCAGCCTGGGCTACATAGTGAGTTCCAGGAAAGCTGGGGCTACAGGGAGACCCTGTCTCAAAAAAGACCAAAAAAAAAAAAAAATTCTAGCTTACCTTCTGGAGAAAAAATAGTGGTCCTGGAGTCATATCTTCGAGACTGCAAAGGAAAAACATACAAGTGAGTCCTACTCACTGAAAAGAAGCCAATTTCTGGAAGCCCACAAATCTTATAAAGCACATTCTTCTGCTCAGAGTTCAGTGTGGGGGGAGGTAGCTCATAAAGGAGATACCATCCCACTTCTTTTTCTTTCCATTCTAATTTTCTCAGGCCAAGTTTGTTTAACTGAGTACAAACCATAAACATTCATCAGGCAAAAGTTTACTGGAATGTGTCATGAACTCACCATGGCTTCTGAACGTTAAAAAATTCCTGTGGAAAGAAAATAGGATCATTTAAGGACTGTCTTCTAGTCAGGCATGGTGACACACATCTTTAATCCCAGCAGTCCAGAGGCAGAGGCAGAGGCAGGAGGATCTCTGTGAGATGGAGATCATCCTGGTCTACATAAACAGTTCCAGGACAGCTAGGGCTACAAGGAGATTCTGTGTCAAACAAGTGTCTTCTAACCTTTAAATTGTGTGGTCTATTCCAGTCACTCACCTAACACTGTACACTTGACAAGTGTCAAGAACTATACTAGATGCTGAAACACCAAGATAAAGGTAAAGCCAAGCCTCTCCAGATGAGAGGGAGAGATTATAAAGGTGGGAAGAGGCATTAAAGGCGGGGTAGAAAGGACAAAAAAACAAGGAAATATTTTTTGAGAAACCTATATAGGAAATGAGAATAAAATAAAGACAGAGAAGTGGAAATACTTTCAAACTCTCAAGTCTAAGAGGAAGAATTGAGGACCAACGAAAGGAAAGGGCATTCCAGGTAGTAAGTAGCCTGAGCAAGGGGTTAGATGGTTCAATGGACAAGAGACAAATCGCTTAAGTTTGATAAGAGGCCTTAACTTAGGGATGCGGGTGGTAATCTTGGGTATCAATTTTCGCTTCTGTGAAACACAACACTGGAAGCTTGCATGATTTAGTGGAAAATTTCACCTTGGAGTCAAATTCTTATACTGCCAAGCAATGGGATCTGAGGAACCAAGGCTGGAAAGCAGAGCTTCAGGCAAAAACCTCAGACTTCTCTCTTAGTGGGATCCGTGACTCCAATGACTGAGCGTGAGGGCCACAGGAACTGCCTGGCACTTTGGAAAGGTCGTCAGGCGGGTAAGAATACGGGCATGGTAACGCGTCAGGAGCCGATTCCAGTACGCAGGACACGTGGAAAGGCGGCCCCGAGCCCCGAGGGTGACACTGGCCCGCGGGTTTTGGATTCGCCTGTGCACACAGCTCTAAGAACTCCTCGCTGGCCCGGGAGCTGCAGGAGTTGGACTTCCCGGTACCTGCAGCAGCTCCGACTTTCCGATACCGACTCTCAGGGTCAGAGGCCGCCCGACCCCTCGCACCTGCCTGGTGGGTCCCAGGACCCGACCCCGCCGTCCAGGCCCCGCACCAGGACCGTCCAGGGCCAGTCCCCGGCCCGTCGGCCGCCGAGGAGCGGGTGCAGAGTCATCGTGCCCACGACTCCCCGGAGGCCGGGGCCGCTTGTCTCCACGGCCCCCGCCAAGGGGACAGCGGCCACGCTTCCGGGGGCCCTAGGGGACCGAGCCTCACCCGACAGAAGATACTGGAGGATGGAGACCTGCCCCGATCGCTTTACGCTGCCGGGCAAGAAGAAACCCGGCTGGTCAAGCACCCACGGCGAATATGGCCCCCGCGCGTGCGCAGAACCGCCAGGGGCGGGGTGAAGCTACGCGGAAGTCCTTCTGGGGCGGGGTCGCATGTCCACGTGAACGCCGGAGCTTCAGCGCCTAGACTCTTAGGTCTAAAGCCTTGGATTCTCGTGAGGGCTGGAAGGAGGAAGAGCCCAGCGAAGGAGAGAGTGGAGTTATAGCCGGTTCCTCCCTCGCGCTCTGCTTTCACTTTCTGTTCTGGTCCCTCTTTTACAACCTGGGATAGTACTGGACCGAACTAAATCGTTTACTGTTCTAGACCTATACCGCAACGGTTTTATCCTTTCTCCTGCCTCTTTGCTGCTTCTCATTTTCTTCCTTCTGAGATCCCGCTTCAGCTTTCATTGGGAGAACTTTCATTTTCGTTTCTTTTCCAAAATAGATTTTCCCTGGGCCAACCTAGTTCAAGAAATACTGCTAGGCGTGGTGGTGCAGGCCTTTAATCCTAGCACTGGGGAGGTAGAGGTAGGCAGATCGCTGAGTTCCAGGTCAGTCAGGGCTACATAGTGAGACCCTATCTCAAGATAAAAACAATAATAATAGTACTGTCATCACCATCAACAGCATTTTAGCTTCCTCATTATCTTCATTAACCTAAGCTTTTTTGGGTTTTGGGAGAGCTTTGGAGTTTGATTATGCCTAAGTTAATATATAATCATTTCAGAACATGGAGCAGGAACTTTGTCCTCTGTGTAGGGTGCAAAATGATCGGATCTGTGTTTTTAAAATGGGTAGCTTAGAAATGAGTTGCATTTGGGCTGGGCCTGGCCAGTACTTTTGAGGCAGAGGCAGAGGTATTGCTGTAAGGTCAAGGCCAGCTTGCCTGGCAAGTTCCGGGCTAGCCAGGGCTACATAGTTAAGTCCCTGACCAGAGGGTGAGAGAGGCATTTTGAGGTCTTTCCTGCCATCCATTTCTGCTTTCGAAGCTCACTGAGGGGCACAGTGGCAGAGGGCCACAGCTATACATACAGGTGCCCTGAAAGCTTCCTCAGATGTAACTTTTGGCACGTATTAGCACTCCTGCCTGCTCCCTTAGTCTGCAGAATTCAACAAGCAATGTCAAGTTTTAAGCAAGAGGTGGGATTTCTTGAGTTAAAAGAAGGCTCAGTTGAGGAAAATGTGCAGAAAGCAAGGCTGGTCATATATCTCAGCAAGCTTGGTTAGCAAGTGTGAGGCCCTAGGTTCAATCCTAGCACTGCAAAAAAAAGCAGAATTATGAGCTTGACAAGTGTGAATGACAGAGTAGTTCAACCTGGCTTGAAAGGTGGAGAATGTAGAAAGTGAAGAAGGAAAGGTGTCCGAGGACAACCTGTGGAGTGCTTTCAATGCCAGATTTCCCCCACTGTTGGGAAATGGGAAGAAGGGACTAAAATGATGCTTTAGAAGGATGAGGCCTCAGGGTCTTCCACCCCATAAGTTCCTCTTACAACGTGCCATTGAGAGGTTTGATGCCACCTTGCCCCGAAGCTAGGTGAGCCTGTGATTACAATGGAAGTGGTATCACATGAAGAGTATCTCTAAAATATATAGTTCTGTCCTGTCCTCTTGGGATGGTCCTTCTGGATCTCAGGCAGTATTCTGTGAGAAAGCAAAGACCCCATGGTCAAGTACTTGGTCAAAGCCCAGATGAGGTCCCAACATCACCTGCCATGTAAGTACCTGCTGATTTCTCCAGATTAGCCCTCAGTCACTAGTGACTTAGTCTCTCTCTCTCCTGGCATTCACGTCTTCCCAGCAGAGGACCCAGGCACTGTGGAGTTGAAAGAAGCTGTCTCAGGGGCTGATTTTATGACCCACAAAAATCCCATAATAAAGTCACTGAGGGCTGGAGCGATGGTTCAGTAGCTAAGTGCACTGGCTGCTCTTGCAGAGAACCTGGGTTCACTTCCCAGCACCCACATGGTGGCTAAAAACTGTAATTCCAGTTCCAGGGGAATCTAACACCTTCTTCTGATCTCTACTGGCATTGCAGAACATGGGTGCACTTAACACACATGCAGTCTATATACATCAAATAAAAACAATAAATAAAATTTAAAAAATAAATAAGGCCAGGTGTGGAAGCGCACACTAATCCCAGCACTCGGGAGGCAGAGGCAGGTGGATCTCTGTGAGTTCAAGGCCAGCCTGGTCTCCATAGTGAATCCAGGACAGCTGGGGCTACAGGGAGACCCTGT